ATACGAGAGATCTCAAGCGAAAGACATCCTTGGGTCCATATCACGATTTGAGCTTAGATATGTTCTGATTATATCTAACTACAATCGCAGGAACACCGATTTCAATAAAAGTTTCTTGGTAATACTAGATCAAAGAATATCAGACACATATCCGAGTTTCCATGGCAATGTCTCGAAAAGCGGATAAAACAACATATATTAGTAATGTGTGGTGATTAGTCTATGCGGTCATCAACACGACCTTGCATATTATTTCCGAAACCTAGGTAAAAAAACAAATTGAGTGATGAATAATAACTGAAATACATGCTCAAAAAAGGCAGAAAATTATGTTTAAAAAATATTTAACTTACTAATATATGAATATTCGGAAATAGTGAGATGCGGTCTGATGTGATATAGGTTTCAGAAAAACATTTTCTTTATCGTGCCAACGTTTCGATCTTTACTGATATCATCTTCAGGGCCTGGGATTTACAAACATTGTTTAAATTTAACAAATACATATAGGATGTTGAAAAAAGTGAATTTATACAGTGCAAAAAAAATTTTTTTATATTCAATCAAAGTATTTCTACTCACTCAAAGTGTTTGTTTTGTGTATACTATGTCTCAATAAAGATCGAAACGCATGTCACGATTTCCGAATATTCATATATTAGTAAGTTAAATATTTTTTAAACATAATTTTCTGCCTTTTTTGAGCATGTATTTCAGTTATTATTCATCACTCAATTTGTTTTTTTACCTAGGTTTCGGAAATAATATGCAAGGTCGTATTAGATGAGATTAGAAAAAGTAACAAAAACCAAAAAACGCCATCAGTAAAGAAGGTTGAAAATATTAACGTTAAAAGTTACTGTAATCGTTAATTTTTGGTTTAATTTGCCTCAAGCAATAATTATTAGTAATCAAGCAAATGAACGGTAGATAATGTAATATTACCAGAATGTTGTTAGAAATAGTAAATAATTTTAAGTAATGCGACTTAAATTAGTAAAATATGTAATTTATAATGTCTCTTGTTATACTATTTTTGAAGATTAAAATAGAGAAAAATAATTTATTTGTGTGTGATGGTAGGTGACATTATAAAAAAGTAGTTTACATCGGTGATCCCATGTTCTTACGTTTGTAAGTCTCAATCCACTTCCAATTCCACATTATTTTGTTTTTAGCCCCACATTGTGACAGCATCTTTTCGATCCGGCTATATTTTTATTATTCTCCAGTATTGCACATAAATGACTGGAGTTGAAAGTTTCTGATCTACTACGATAATAAACATTTATTTCATAAATAATTGCCCCATTACATGACGAAAGTTAAACATATAGTGGAGTTGGATAGGATATTTTCTAAAGATCTAACAGTTCAACAAATGATTCACGATATTATAAATACGGTAATCATTGTGCAATATTGAATAAAAACTACTTTCAAAAATCATCCTTTAAAACTTAATTATTCAGAAATCATGCCAAACATTTTCTTTATCGTGCCAACGTTTTTCTGAAACCTACATCATACCAGACCGCATCTCACGATTTCTGAATAAACATCGACAAACGGTCACTAATCACCACAGATTTCTACACGAGATAAACGAAGAACATGGGATTCTCTGAACATATTTCAACTACATATGGACACGAAGCAAAAAGTATTCTGAAGTACATCGCCAACGATGAGAAGAAACTCGCATATCAATCAGAGAACATTTTTGTTGAAATGCAGACAACACAAGGCCCTGAAGATGATCTCATTAAAGATCGAAACGTTGGCACGATAAAGAACATGTTTTTCTCAAACCTACATCACACCATCTCACGCTTTCTGAATAATCATCGACAAACGGTCACCAATCATCACACATTTCTATAAAACTTATCAATACTTTTACTCAAACATTTGTTTTAATTTTTCTTAATTCCTACAATTAATTATAATATATTTAATAATATTTATAAGTGTAAATGATTGGATTAATTGGTCAAGCGGACCACGAAATTGGTGAATTTAATGAGTGTAAATTATAAGAGGCGATATATTATGTATTTATGTACATATTTCCACAGATATGATTTAAGTTGCAATATTTACTACTAAAAAAAGGCCTTATGATCTTTATACAAAGAGAAAGAAGGAGATAGAGGGAGAGAATGAGAGACAGGAGAATTAGTGCTGAACGAAGAAGAATAGAAGAAGTAAGAGGAAAAAAGGCAAAGTGGAAGAAACGAGATATGTATATACAAAGTTAAGTTAATGAGGGGCGTCGGTGGCCGCAAGGTTTAGTCATTGACACGGCGCTCATCTCTGTAAGGTAAAGGTCCCGGGTTCGAATCCAGCGGCCCTGCATTCGAACCCGACATACTTACAAATGGGCTTTTTTTCAAAAACACCGGCACCCTGAGGGATTATATGACCTCTGCTGTTGCAAACCCTCGTAAAAAAAAAAAAAAAGTTAAGAAAGAGAAATGAACTCGAGTTAGACGAAAAAATAGAGAGAGGGAGAGAGGAGATATGTACAAAGATAAATGAAAGAAAGGGCAATTGAACGAGTTAGAGAGGGAGAGAGAGAGAGATAGTGAGAAGGAGGTAGAAGTAATGAATAGAAGAAGAAAAAAGGGAGTGGGAGATGAGTAGACAGATAGATAAATTGATAGTGACTGTGTTGGAGATGTAATCATGTAGAGAATGTATGAGGGAGAAGCAAGTTATCAACTTGTCCAAAAATTTGTTTTGAAAGTAGATCTTACTAGTATAATGTCCCATTTAACACGTAATTATGATAAATGAAATACATATATTCTTTCTCTCATGATTCAGCAGCTATGGAGATCCGCGGTGTTTTAGGTCGCCACGTCGAACTTGTGTGGCCTACAATTTGTCCAATATTAATTTGGTCTTTAATAAAAAGAAATATTTCTCTGTGTGGTCTTTGGGGTACTTTAATAAAATTACACAACTCGAAAGTATTATAATTTGGCGAGTATCTAATGAACCGATATTCACACACAAAAGGCCTCCCCCATCTAACGAATGCAGAACACAGATTAGTCATTATGGGTATTAAATTATTCAATTATTCGTGTAAACCCGTTTAAGATTCTAGAACAAGGGCTATTAACGAGCAAATATGATTCAGGACCACCGGAGGAGACTCGCGTGAACGTTTCATCATATTCGTGGAGTTCTCTCGATTATGTCGAACACCCCCTTCTAAAACCCCTAGGGATACGTGTTTCACGTCCACCGTATAAATAAACATGTACTTCAACCAGTTATGTCGGTTCGATGTGGAGTGACAAGTCAGAACAGTAGCTTCCTGTTTAAAACCTTGTTAGACAAGTACTTCAACCCTTTAACGACTGTTAAGATTTCAAGAGTCGATTGTTAACAAAACGAGGAACAAAAAAAGCAAAGTTATATTAGCAACATTTTTTTAATCAAACTGAAGCTTGTCAAATTTAAAGCCGGCTGAAAATCCCATAACGGCATTTGAAATTGCCGTCTGTTAATTGTTTTCAACCGGAATACCTGCTACCTCCGGTAATTGATTTGTGACCCTCGTCCTTTTCCAACTTTTAAAAACTATTCCTGATTTATGGAGATATGCCCTGTTTTCATTTAGCTGGCAGTATTCTCGTTAATGCCCAGCCAGTTATCAGACCGGAGCTGCCTTAAGTCTTTTCATCTGATTTTGCATCTAAATGGGCCCATTTCCACTTTTATTGCCAGGGGAAAATTAACTTATTCATTAGGAGTGGCCTTTGTATTTCCTTTTTCGGGCTTGCAATTGATTCAGGGTAAGAGACCGAGTCGCTTGTTTTATTTACAGCGGTCGGCTTTATCATTTGTTGTTAAATTGTATTCAAGAACCGGTTTTCCTGGGTTAAAATAACCGTTTTGACGTCCGAAATACGACCGTAAATACTATTTTATATCGTCCTGATCAAAACTTAACTTCGATTTTTATCATTATCCGACATTTTTGATTGGTACAACGTTTTAAGGTCAGGTTTTCCCATTTATCATCTCATGTTTCTTATTTTTTGGTTATCGTTAATAATATTTCACTTTAAGAAATGAGAAGTTTGCAGAGATAACTTTCTGTAGAAGATTATTCCGAAATTGTGAGATGCGGTCTGGTGAGATGTAGGTTTCAGAAAAACATTTTCTTTATCGTGCCAACGTTTCGATCTTTATTGAGATCATCTTACATGTTTTTGTTAAATTTAAACAATGTTTGTAAATCCCAGGCCCTGAAGATGATCTCAATAAAGATCGAAACGTTGGCACGATAAAGAAATGTTTTTCTGAAACCCACATCTCACCAGAACGCATCCCACGATTTCTGAATAATCATCGACAACGGTCACTTATCACCATACATTTCTGTAGAAGGAAGAGGAGGAGGACAATTTATAACTTAATCATAGCTTTAATGGAAAATAATACATTTTTTATAATATATTCAAGAATCATTAGTGTCGAGGGATAAAATGTTTAATCTGCACTGATGTCTGCAGCCGCAGACCAAGTCAAAATTAATTTTCCATTAGCCGCGCGGAAACTTCGCCGAAATTAGGTTATTTGGTAGGATTGAAGACTATGAATTGCTTCCTGTACTAAATGGTCAATTTAGTCAATTGCAGTTTCTTAATTCGGCCGAGTAGATGCAGTATCAAGAAAATGGCTCTATTCTCCTCAATGGCGACAAATAGCGGCAAAATTTCTTTGGAGCTTCGGTTAAGAAGCACAACAAATCAATACCGGATCAATGTGACAATGGGATTATGGAGTTAACGTCCTTTACCCAAGGAGAAAGGGTTACAAAAACTCCGATGAAGACCATTAAAAACATGAGTTTGGAAAGTTGAACAATCAACTGAAAAAAATTGACATTTATCCCATGCCCTCAGAAATGTTGCATTTGAGTAGGAGACCTATGCAAATTTTTTGTATATATGTATATTGTCTGGTATAAATAATCAACATACTTTGGACTAGGTATACATGTATTACAATAATCAATAACAGAGTTTTATCTGATTGCACACATTAAGTGATATACATATTAAATATGACATTTCCTGCTTCCATATAATACACTCTATCTATATATTTATAAATGTTAAATAGACAAAATAATTGGTCAATATATAATCTAACACTTGTTATTTCTACTTATTTGTTTAAACTTTGGCAATTTAAAAATAATACTTTCTTATAATTTTTCTCTCGTAAAGGCTAAATATAAAATAGGAAAGTCATCTGTAGTTAATTAACAATTGCACAAAAATACTGCCCAGATAAAACGCAACCCATCCACCAATAATCAATACAAAAGATATGTTAAAAAATAATTTCTTTAATATTAAAAAAAAACAATAATAACGATTTGGTTAAGATATCCTGAGATGTATGGCACGAAGGGAGAATGGATTAACCCCGATTAAAAAAATGGTTTCGTCGGCGGATCCTGGGTTCCGTCCCCGGGCGAGAGGGGTGCCGCCGGTGGACACCACACTTGGTAAAATAGATCACAGCCTTTGTAGAAATGTGCGACACTCGGGGCGGAGTAGACTGCAGATGCTGCCGCTGCTGTACCCATGTCGAGGTGGAATCCGGTGCCGACCACCATCGGATGTCCTGGGGGATAGCTCTCCTTCAGCATCAGCTCCTGCAGGCGGGTCCTGGCTCTCTTTTTGTATCCAGCCAACGGTTCGTCAAGCATGATCTCCGCCCTTAAAATTAATTATTATATAATTAAATTGGTAAAAAGTATAATCAACAAAGTAATATGTTAACTGTAGTATTATAAAATGTTTACTGTCATTGTTTAAATTAAGATAAATAAAATTCATTAGTTGAGTATACAACACATAGAATAATAGTCTAAGAAAACAAAATGTAATTCTTACATTATAATTTCACCAAACTGCACATAAGAAAAATGTTAATACAATGTTATACCATATAAATGTAAACGAGATAAATGATTTTTTATACATATAAATGAGTGTGCGAGAGAGAGAGACAGAGAGAGAGAAAATAAGAGGAAATAACTGGTTTGAGTAAGAAAAAAAATTGATAGTGTGGTGGTGAGAGAGAATGGGAGAGAAATGGGGGAGGGAAATGTAGGAGGGAGCGGGTGTGGTAGAGGGTGTACGAAGAGGGAGCGGGAATGAAGTGGAGTGGGAAGGTGAGATGGAATGAATAATAGAAGTCGGAAGGAGTGGGAGAGGGTGACGATGAAGGAATGAGAGCGATATGGAGTGGGAAAGAGGGATTAAGATAAATACAAATTATTAGTTGAATAACAACACAGTTATACAATGAAGTACTGAAGAGAAATATAAAAATTAGAGGGAGTTAGGTGAGAGAGGAAAGAGGGCGTGAGTGAGATGGTTGGAGCGGGATTGGAAGAGAAAGAGAGAGGGTGTGAGAAAATGAAGAGAGGGTTGTGTGTGGCGTCGGCGATTGGGTGATACTTTTTTTAAATGCAAGAATACTAGACAAATTTTTTGGAGGGAGAGAGGAAGCAAAATAGTGCGGTAAGCGGTGGAAAAAAGGAAAGAAAAAGAGAGAGTGAGAGTAAGGGTGATGGTAAGGGGAAGAGAGAGAGAGAGAGAGAGAGAGAGAGAGAGAGAGAGAGAGAGACCTTAACCATTAAGAAAACAGAAAGGACAAAAAAGAATTAGAGTAACAGAAAAGGAAGAAAGAAAGAATGGAAAGATAGTTGGGGGAGGAGAAAGTGAGAAAGAAACAGAGAAAGTAGAGAGAACGAAAGAGTTGCAACAAGTCAGCTAGCGTGCAATAAAAGCACAAATTGATTAGTAAAAATTTTTGAGTGAGAAATTGAAAAGAAAGAGACAGAGAGAGGAAAGGAGGGAGAAAACAACGATAGAGAACAGTGAGAGTGAGAAAGCGAGAGAGAGGAAGAGCGACCGATATAGAAGTAAAGAAAAATAGAAAGCAAAAAATAATGAGAGAGAAAATGAGAGGGAGAGGGAGATAGAAAGAAAGGGCAGGAGAGAGCGAGGAAAGTAAAAAGAAAAACATTTTCTTTATCGTGCCAACGATTCGATCTTTATTGAGATCATATTAACGACCTGGGATTTACAAACATGGTTTACATCCCAGGCCCTGAAGATGATCTCAATAAGGATCGAAACGTTGGCACGATAAAGAAAATATTTTTCTGAAACCTACATCACACCAGACCGCATCTCACGATTTCCGAATAATCATCGACTAACGGTCACTAATCACCACACAGTAAAAAGAAAGAAAGAGGACCAGAGAGAAAGAAAGAAAAAGAGAAAATGATACCGAAAGAGCAAAATGCGAGATGGAATTGATATTTGGGCGGTTGCTCCAATGTCAGCATGAATATAAAAAAGAAAAAAGAATACGAAACGAATTGTAAAATAGCATGGATGAGAAAGAAAAAAGAGAGAGAAGGGGAAAGAAAGAAAGAGAGAGAGAGAGAGAGAGAGAGAGAGAGAGAGAGAGAGAGAGAGAGAGAGAGAGACGAGAGAACAAAAATAAAAGAGAGAGGTGAGGTGAGGTGTGGGTGTGGGTGTGTGTGTGTGCGAGGGAGGGAAAGTACGATACGTAGGGCAGAAGAGAGTAAAAACGATAGAGAAAGAGTGAGAGGAAAAAAGAAACAGAAAGAATAACCAAACAATTAATCGATAAGCGTGCAAAGTTGCAACTATGTCAGCCTACCCGTAATAAAAGCACGAAATGAATAGTAAAAATTGATGAATGAGAAGAAAAAAAAGAACTAGAAAAAGAAAGTGTGAAAGAATAAATAATTGAATTCACTAAGATGTAAAATAGAAGACAGAGAAAATAAAGACTTATTATTAAAAAATCTCTAAATTTTAATCTAAATTACACTCAAATTAGTTTAATTAATAAGAATTAGATTTGATTGTAAGAAGACCATTCTTTTTGACATTTACGAAATGTTTTTTTCTATATAAATGAGAAATCGAAGAATGAAGGATAACAGCCTCCGCAGGTGGAAATCAATAAACGTCCCACCTGCTTACTTCTTCATCTGTTAAGTCTGTTGATTTCATTAAAAAGTTTTCAAAAAAAAAGTTTTTGTATTTTATTCAGCCCCTATAGCGATTATTTTGATTTAAAAAATATATGAGTAATATCTTTGCAACCTTTTGTTTTCCACCCCCATCTTAAGATCTGTGTAGCAACACCGCACATTCTCGGCATGTCTTTATTCCCCAGACATGCTTTCAGACTCTATTAAATAGTATTAATTTTTTGGAAAATAAATGAGCTTTAGGATGATACCAAGCATGTATGAGTTCATCGTTGCATCACGATCGCCCCGAGGTTTGACCGAGGGTATTTTTAAAACTAGTTTTTTTTTTGTTTTTTAATGGGACTTTTAGTATAGAGTTCCGATTCAAAATTGCAAAATTGGGCCAATAAAGAACAGAATTGACTTGTAGCCAATTAATTCAAGTGAAAAAACATTCCAGGAAGAGAAATCGTGACGAATAAACTAGACGCCTAAGTAAATGAAAAATGGATATGTTAGGTCGGTTGGTTGATGGATTGTGATCAGGGCTATCTAACACCACGGACCAAAAGAAAAAAATAAATCCGGTACGGATTTGATAATTAACTACAAAGAAATAAGCAGTTTTAATGCGATAAAATACAATAATAACTTATTTCAATTAATTAATCTTTTTATGTAAGGTATTGGTGGAGATGGATTTATAATAATAACAATTTTTTAAATACAATTGTGTGTATATATGCATCATTGTTTTAGGTGACGATGAAATTGTATAAATTCATGAGCTTTCGTGGTCCGATTGACCAAATAAAATCTTTCAATTAATTAATCTTTATGTAAGGTATTGGTTGAGATAAAAAGTCAGTGTCACGAGCGGGATTCGAACCCACGACCTTCGGCTAAATACGACGCTGCTCTACCACTTGAGCTATCGTGACTTCGACCCACTCGGACACCAACTTCCAATCTCAACCTCTTTTGAATTTTCCCTCCGTTTTGCCATTTTTCAAATGTCATGTAATCGGATTGGATGCTGGACGACAAATGAAATGGCCACGGAGAGCTTTAGTGAAGTATACTTTATTTTAAATCATTAAATTCACTAATTTCGTGGTCCGCTTGACCAATTAATATATTACAATTAATTAAGGTTTTTAGTTGAGATAAAAAAGTCAATGGCATAAGCGGGATTCGAACCCACGATCTTCGGCTAGATACGCCGCTGCTCTAACACTTGAGCGTGACTTCGACCCGCTCGGACACCAACTTCCCATCTCAACCCCACCTTTTGAATTTTCCCTCCGTTTTGCCATTTTTCAAAAGTCGTGCAATCTATTTAATTCTCGGCGACAAATGAAATGGCCACGGAGAGCTTTAGTGAAGATATACTTATTTTTTAACTTATTAAATTCATTAGATTTCGTGGTCCGATTCATCAAATAACAATTAATTAATCAACAATCTTTCAATTAATTAATCTTTATTAGTGATAAAGGTATTGGTTGAGATAAAAATGGCAAAAAGGAGGGAAAATTCGAAAGTTTGGGTTGAGATGGGAAGTTGTCCGAGTGGATCGAAGTCACGATAGCGCTCAAGTGGTAGAGCAGCGGCGTATTTAGCCGAACGTCGTGGGTTCGAATCCCGCTCGTGACACTTTTTATCTCAACCAATACCTACATAACGATTAATTAATTGAAATTTGTATAAATAAAGATAATCCAAAAGCAGAAATAATTTAAGTCTATTAATAAGTTACAAAGCTGACTTTTTACATTGCGTTTAGCGAAATAGTGCGACGCAGCAAATTGCTGGCGAGGTATATATTTTTATTCACTATTCTGAGCGAAAATGCTTACCAATCGAGAAGTTATTTAGTTTGTAAGTCGATTTAAAGTTCCAGCACGTCAGAGGGTTTTATTAAATTTTTACAAGAATACTACCGACTTAGCGTTTGCTGATCCGACCTCTTCCAAAACCTTGGTTCTTGTTTATTTTCATTGTTTTTACCACAAATAATCCATCTTCTTGTAATATTCGGTCGGTTTTCCCGTTTATGTTGGAAATTACATCTTATTTCCTTGCATCCTATTAAAATACGGGCGAGCCACAGTTTTATGAGGTTCACTTCATTATTTACTTGTTTACATGTCTGGTTTTAAGACCATCCGTTAATTGATCGAAATTTTTTTTTAAGGTTTACGGTGAGACCTGAAAAGCCCGCAATACTAATTTTACCTTTATTAGTATTTTACCATACTAATTACATACCAATCAAACCGCAAGAATTAAATTCCATAATTCCATGAAATTCTTACATTGTAACTGAATATATAATAAACAATTATGCAGAAATCGTGAGATGCGGTCTGGTGTGATGTAGGTTTCAGAGAAACATTTTCTTTATCGTGGCAACGTTTCGATCTTTATTGAGATCATCTTCAGGGCTCAAAGTGTTTGTCTTCTGTGTAATTGTGCCATTCTTGCGGGTCGTGTTGAGAGTGCCTCATAGTATTTAATAAACCTTGTCTTAACAGAATAATAACAAAATTTTTGGAAAAACTTACCCTCTTTTTTCCTCAAAGAACCAACCAGGTTATATTTATAGTAATTAAAAAAAAAAAAGATTGAATTAAGAACAAATTTATATCTATATAAAATTATGACTTACATTATCATAATTTTAATTGT